AAACAATTGTTTGCTAAAGAACTTGCTTTTTCATGAGGCTGCAATAGTTAATAGGCAAAATCTGTCCTCTTCCAAAACTGTATCTATCAGGAGGGGCAGAGGACATTTTTGGTGGGATTCATGAACTTGAACTTGAACTAGCCTCCCTTGAGTGGAGCTCTCCAGGCAGGAGAATAAGGATCCTGTGTGGGGCTCCACAGGAGGCTCTCAGGAGGGGACTGACGGCTTAAGGAACCCACTGAGGGGAATCACTTGTTTGGGTCCATGATGGCATAAGCACACAGAGCCATCTCCATTTGCCAGTGTCTGCTCCTGCTTTTCTGGAAGGCCGGAGGGGGGTGGGGTGGGGGGTGAGGATTGTGTGTGGCCAAAGGCAGCCAGGACAGCAAGTGGTCCATGTTTTCACCCATGCACATGATTTCCTGAGAGCACTCTGTCCCCTGAGCTGAGAAGGTAAGGCCTGAGCTTGTTCCACCTCCAGGCGCCTGGGCAGGGCCATGTGTCCAGGTCTTAAGCTGGTCCAGCCTTCTTCTCATGGAGAATTAATGTTCCAAGCCCAGGAAACCACCAACAGCAAGCCTGAGTTTCCTACAGACTCCTTGTTTTTCACTAGATCTCACAAATACACCATTTCTTCTTTACTAAACTGTCTCTAGATCAAGACACAGCCTCCTGTAGGTCGCACTGAGGAGAAATAAACCCCTCCACGACCCTTTCTCCCTAGGGAATCCTGGAAGGCCTTCCTGTTGGTCATGAACAGTTTTGCTGAATGTTTGAACCAGAGCTGGGAGGAGGCGAAGAAGGGCAGAGCTGGGCATTGACGTCTTCTCCTAAAACATGGGGACAGAATGGGCCCGAGGCCTCTCTCCGCACTCGGAGGAGGAAGGATCGTCCACAAGACTGAAGTCCCTTCTCCCCAGGTCTCTGCTACAAAAAGAAGCAGCAACTAATGTACTTAGAAAAAACGGGCAGAAACACCCAATTTAGCAGTTCAAGGAGAACCCTGTGAAGACTGTGGAAAACTGAAAACATGGGCTGCTTCCCGGCAGAATTTGGAGTCAGAAGTGTAGCTAATTAGAATGAAGCCCACAGTAAAAGTGTCCCTTGGACAGACTCCCCAACTGAGCTATGTGCCTCAGGTTATATTCAAATTAAGGCAGGTAGCACAGGATGAGCTATAAAAAAATTTTAATAGTCACTTATTTTAATGTTACTAACAAAAATTTAGTACATCAGGCTCATGAGTTTTATTATCCTGTAATGAGACCAAATCTGCTTTTA